GTTCTCTCACATCGACGTTTCTATCTCTCTTTCCCTCCCTCCCTCCCTCCCTCTCTCTCTCTCTCTAAAAGCAATAAAGAAAAAAAAAAAATTCAAAAACAAACGTAAAGGTATAAATTTATATTAGTATTTGAGAAACAAGATCCATGTCAGTTACTGTCCTTACTGATAATTTCTCTTAAATCACAATTACAACTAAAACAATTTCTTCCCTAATATACTGATATTGTATATAGTTAAAAAACAAATATTTAATCTCTTCCACTGAACACTCAGTGCAGATTTAAATAGAAAAACCTAAGAACTCAAGGAAGAATAACCAATTAAACTATATGAAATACCAGTGAATGAATAGTTATTCAAATAAAAACTGGATCTGTCGAGAAAATCAATGCATTTATTTTCAAAATAAACAAAAATGGAAATTCAGACAAATTACATTGCTGAAATAAAACAATCAGAAAAATGAATGTTCCTTTATTTTATGTATATTAGCATATGAAACCTAAATCCTGCAGACTTTAAACTCAGCATTTCAAATCATGGCACAAAAAGAAACATAGTATTGTGATATTATAATACTAAAATTATTTCATATTACCATTTTATGGAAAGAATTATGGTAGCATATATGAACAAACTTACACTTATTTAGAAAAGCTAAATTCTTTATTTTTATCTCTACCACTTATAAGCAAATGACATTCAAATATATTCCTTAGTATACTAATTCACAAGAAAAAATATTGACTGAACTCGCCACAGATGTGTAACTACACAAACACTAAAAACTCAATAGAGCTAGGAGTTCACAGATGCTCCACTTGACTGTCTCCCAGAAGCTGACTGTTCCCAGGGTAAACTTGGTAAGTACTGGAACAAGGATTTTCTTGATGCAGGGGGAAAGCTGTGTAGAACTCTTTTCCTGGAGCCAGAGCTGAGCCGGACACTAGAATGTTCAGCAGATTAGCACATCTTTGTGCACTGGCTTTCAAATGTTCTTGAATGAATCTTACAGAATTCCATTGCCTTGGCCAAAGACAGCTTGGTATTAACAAAGGATCAAGTTTCTCCCAATCTCAATTCAGCTTTGAAGCAAAATATAAAGCTAAAACTTAAGAATTATATGACTAAAAATATAGACAATGGGAAAGGTATATTTAGGTGCAATAGATATTACTTAAAAACTATCATGTTAAAACTCCTCACACTATGATTAATATTCAAACTCCTACTTTCTACCAATCAAGACTCATGGAAAATGCAATGAGAATAGTCTTTAACTATTATTTTACAATCTCCATGACTGCCAAAAACAAAAGCCTGTAAATGGTGTAAATTTTAGAAAATAATTCCTTCCATACTGTTTTATCTTTAAAAAAGAGAAAAGAACATGAAATAATACATAATAAAAATTTAATTGGTACAAAAGTCATCTAAATTACTCTTTACACCCAAGTGTGTTTATTCGAGATTTTAAATTATTAACCAAATTTATCTCTTTCCAAGTATGCCTTGCGTCAAAACCAGAAACCATGCAAAAACATGCTGTTCATGTTAAAATAGCGTATTCTCTAAAAAATGTTGAAGCATGACAGTAATACTAAACTGTTACATGAGAAATAAATACGCTGTAATCAATGGCTGGTGAGTTAATTTGCAGTTTAATTTAAAGATATGTTCCTTAAATGTAATTTTTAATTAAACATGGCTAAAAAAACCCCACAAAATTTAAATATAGCAAAACCTTTGGGAATAACAACTATAATGTCATAAAATCAGTTTCTCCCTAGTATTGAAAATCAAACTTCAAAATACATATTCAATAGTAGAGAGATGTAATATGATTCCAATGACCCTAGCTGTTCTCAAGTTAATTCTTTTTTTAAAAACCACCAATTGAACCTGTATTCCTTGGAGTCACACACACCTACCTCCTATCAGACAAGTTTTACTGGAGACTTACTTACCAAGTATAAAAAAATATTCACAACACTGCAGAATCTAGCCATCTTTAATACTTTTTAGAAACCAGGTTCTCAAGAAATGTCTTATGTCTTCTAAGTCACACAGCAAATCTCTTACACATCCAACCTAATGGTATTGTTTCTTTTTTTTTTTTTTTTTTAATTTTAAAGGATTTAGATATTGACACCAAGTAAGTGGCAGGTAAGATTAAAAATAAACATTATACCATAAGCAAAAGAGATCTGCCTTCAAACACTTTTTTCCCCAAGAGTGAAAAGATTTATTTGAAAAACTTAGCACAGGACAAAGATATCCTTAATATTCCTCTTGGAATTATCTATGTGAATATTCAGAATCCATATGAAATTTGACAGCAACTCTGGTTTCACAGAACGTGAATGGTTTATACAGATGTAAACTCATAGACCTTATTGACATTTGCTTTCACTGAGTTTCTATCTTCGGTGCTACTTGTACAAATTAAGAAGCAGAAAATCCATTTTCATTTTTAGATGGCTGGGATTAGTTAAAGCAACCAAAGCATTATTACTGTTACAGCAAAGTTTAGTAAACTATAAGAGAATACCACTAATAACATTTGTAAATTATCCAAAATGATTTCTTTATTGAAGTAACTACATAGATTTCACAGTACTATGGCATATTTATATATCACTAAGGTCACAAACACATTTTACATTCACAATGATGAGCATCAGCATTACCATTCTAATCTACAAAGCTCATGGATAAAGAAAAATACAAAAACCTCAAGTTTTACAAAAGAAATACTTTAAAGTCTACATACATTAACAATAAAACCATTTCTTCCAAGGTAACAGGTTAAAGTGTAAAGGCATACCACTGAATTTTTTTTCTCTAAATAGGAATGAAAGAATGTTTAATATCTACGACGCTTATTAGGGCCTTCAAAGTTGCCTGCTTGGCTCCCTCTACCAAAACCACCAGGACCACCACTAACAGGACCTACACCGCTCATGGGTGCTTGAGGGGTTTCAGAACCTGTTCTACTACCCATAGGTGATCCCATCTGAGATGGTGGTCCTTGTGGAAATCTATCATTGTGCTAGAATACAACACAATAAATATAAAGTCCATTTGGAACACGCCAAATATAAGTGACAAGAAAAAATTGGCAAAATCCCAAGTGGTGGTGTCATGAAGTTCAGCAGAAAGTCCAGCAGAATCAGGATCACACATAGAAGGAAGAAAGGAGCAATTTAATTAGTTACTATGTTTAAAAAAAAAAAAAAAAAAAAAGCATCTGAAGTTACATACTGCTATTATGCCCCAATTTCATCAAGAATGAACTGATTTTATGAAGCAAATGCCATTTTAAAAACCTAATCAATATAGTACTATTCTCATATCTGTTTTTAGAAAGCTCATATTGCATGTAACTGTAGTAGATAAAAAAATACTTTTAAAAAATCAGATAAAACTCAGGAGCAGCATCACATTCAGAAAGTAAACACAGAGTTATTATGGAATCTTTTGAGTTTTGTTTTTTTTTTTCAAAAGACTAAAGGGAAAATATAGTTTTATAAAGCTGACAATTTATTAAACATCTAAATCATATACTTGGGAAAATTTCACAGTAATAACCACATATATTAATCTCAAATGTTGAATAGACTCCCTCTGTGCAGTAGTAAACAGAGTGAAAAAGACTGAAGACAATATTTAAGTAAAGTTTACAATTTCAGGAGGAGTGAAAAAAATGGGCCACTTAAAAGTGCTTCAAAATTACTACTACTAATTATATTGCTACACAAAAATTTAACTAAGGTGGTACAAATTTTTACTACCTTTCAGACATTTTACTATAAAATAAAGACTTCATTGACATTAACAAGTATACTAATTATATTACATGCCATCTGGTCATAGTAGATATATACGACAGCACTGCCTCTTTATCTCCCTGTACAAAGACTCAATTTAAAAAACAGTTAGGAGTGCCCGGCTAGCTCAGTCGGTAGAGCATGAGACTCTTAAAAAACAGTTAGGAAAAAAACAAACAAAAAACACTGTTAGCATGTCTAATTTTTCCAAATTCATAAAAGATAGGATTTAAAGTAAATAAATTTTAAAATGGTAAAATATTGCATCCATCAATTCTAAGACATACAATTCACTTTTAACATATGAGACCAGGAAGGAGTTAGAGCTGATGGCATGTCTAATTTGCAGTGCTTTTTTTTTCTTAGCAGCAATGGCGCCTTATGATTTTTGTGTAGTTTCTAAACTAAACCACCTTTTTAAAATATGCAAACAATTTTACTTTTCTAAATGGTACTTAGAACAACCATTAACAAAAACAAAATGAGAAAATGTTTTACCAATATAAAGCCTCATTTAAACAGTGACAGACTTTGAGGGAAATGAAAAAGATATTAGGTCTTGCTACTGATATTCAAATATAAGAATGACTAATGAAAATCATTTTTGTAATATTTAATGCACACAAAGATATCTTCACACTCTCAAACCAAGACAGAAAATTGTCTACTTTAAGTTAGCAACAACTGTAATTAGTAATTCTACAATGTAAGTTTAAATTTTTAAACTTTAATGTAAATTATTTTACAGTTAAAATAAATCTCTAAAATTAGTAAGTAATCTTTTTCTTAGAAATGTTTACCAAAAATTGTTTTTCATATATATTGGAGTTTTGTCCCACACCAAAGACAAGGAGTCCACACAGAAAAAGAACACAATCATAAAATACTTGAATGTTGGTAAGAGGTGGATACAAATTATAAGAACTGTAAAGATAACTGTAACATGTGTTTGCTACACAAAAGCACATAGCATGCCATCAATGTTAATCATAATTCAGAATACTTAAAAACCGCCTCAATCAACATATAACTTCACAAGATTACTTTTTCTCCACTGCATATTGATCTTACTGCCAAAATAAATGATGCCAAATTAAGTGTGAAGTTACCTTTGGGGCAGAAGTATATATTACTGAATATATCAAAATAATATTTATGATACATTACCACTGCTCCATTATCTGGTATCATTGGAGTTCCCATATTTGCAGCTCCTTCTGGTCCCATGGCAGGACCAGGACCCATTGGTGGGCCAGGTATAGTTCCTCTGTTGTTCATATTCATACCCAGCATTGGAGGAGGACCTTGGTTACCAGCAGGTGCTGGGCTAAACGCATCTATGCAAAACAATCTATACTTAGAGCTGTCCTATCTTAGTTCAGTAAACATTAAAATGTAACAACACTTAGGCAAAGTATATAGACGACATCATCAAAATAGTTTTCCTTCTTTTGAGAATGGGACACTCAGCTATCTACTGTGTAACAGAGCATTACCTAACAGACTTTTCATTCCCAAAAAAGCATATAAAACAAATGAGACAACTATCAATTATTTAAGGACATTTGAGACTGGAAAAGCTTGAAAATTAAAAAGAAAATCAGTATGATTTGCTATAGTCTGCTTTTCAACCAAATGCTCCCTTTACAATGGCAACTAAACTCTACCAATTTATTTTAAACAGCAAAAGATTAGCACTTAGAAAACCACTTAATTTTCTAAAAATATACTAAAAATATTAGCATGTAAATTGCACTAAGCTGTAAGAAAATCCATTTCCTCCAATATATAAAGTTCACTGTAACTAACCTCTTGACTTTAATATAGTTATCAAATGTCTCCCAAAATTATAGGAGGTATTATTTTTTTAACTTTAAATAGAAATGTGTAATCTAAACAAAAACAAAAAAATTAAAATGACTCTCAACAGGACAGTTTATTTTAAAAATCAAATGCAGATAAAATATTACTACATTTGATTTTAAATGTTTCAACACGCTGAAATTCTGCAAATGGGAACAAGCAGGTATACTTCAAATTTTTTCATCATAAAGATGAAAACTGCAATAGTGTTTGAGCTATAATATCATACCACATTTATAATGGCCTTAAACATAAATAATATTTTTAGGTACCTTCCACAAATTTTATTTTTAGAGTACTCATATACTTGTTCATCATTAAAAATTCAGAACAAAGACTAACTTAAACTTCAAATTTTCTTCTAGGATTTCATTATATAGGTCAATTCATATAACACTCTGAACTCAGTTTCTCAAAAACACATTATAACAGGAGTTGAAATTTTCATTCAAACCCACAACTCTACACAGCATCTAATACAGCTGAACTCTACAAATGGCTGAGTCCAAGGAGCAGCTGAGAGAAAGAAATCTTATTCCCTTGTCAGTCCTCGGCAACACATTATTACTCTTTCTGAAGCCAATCCCCAGGAACCTAACTACTTCGTAAGAAATGAATTATTTCCTTAATCTGTAAATGTTCTTGCTGATAAGTCTATACTTTATCCAAGAATATTCCTTTCTATTCCCTTCAACAGTTATAAACAAATAATTTTACTAGACTTCCAGAATATCTCTCACACAATGGAAATGAGAATCAATCTTACCTCAATTTTCCCAAAAACAACAGGTCATGGATTAGGGTGTTTGTTTTTATTTTCTTAATAGAACAAAATTGTTACATCTAACTTGTGAGGTTCAAATATAAATATGTGACTATAAGTATAGTAAAATAACTAAAAAAAAATCTTTCCAACTATCACTAGTTGAAATGCAGGCTTATTTTTAGAAATATCATTTTCTACCACATAGCTATAATTAAACTAAATTTTAAAAAATCTAAGCCCTGTCCCTGGCTAGTTGTGACCAGTGGTTAGAGCATTGCCCCACGGAACAAAGGTTTGTGGGTTCAAGTCCAGTCAAGAGCATGTACCTGGGTTGCAGGTTCAAATGCCGACCCTGGTCGGGATCGTATGGGAGGTAACCAATCAATGTGTCTCTCTCACATCGATGTTTTCTCTGTTTCTCTCTCTCTCTCTCCCTCCTTTCCACTGTCTCTAAAAAGATAAAAATAATAATCTAAGGCCCTGGCTAGTTAGCTCATCTGGTTAGAACATTGTCTCAATATGCCAAGGTTTCAGGTTCAATCCCCGATCACAGCATATACAAGAATTAATCAGTGAATGCATAACTAAGTGGAACAACAGATCAATGTTTCTGTCTCCCTCTCTTAAAAAAAAATTTAAATGTAAAGATCTAAGAAATGTTAGAATTATCTGATCCCCTGAAAAAAGTTCTACAACCTATTTTTCACTTGGTATGTACACTGGTAAATACACCAGAAAATCTTTTTAAACACTTCATCAATGTAACTTGACAGGATGTGACAACGTACTGACTCACCAGCAACATTCAAGTGCATAATGATAGATAACTCCAGTAAACTATTAAGATAAATTATCATGTTAATTAAATGTAAAAAGGAGAAAATTACTTTAGGGAGTTGAATAAATGTTCGAATGTAAATATTGTTCCCTGGTGAATAAAATGTCACAAAATTTTTAATTCTCTTAAATTCCTAACTAAACAAGGAATCTAAAGGCAGTCTCGTACTTCTTCTGACTAAGTTACTAACCAAGCAGTCAGTCAGAATATTTTTGTGTCTCTGGCAACATCAGAAATATTTCAAGTTTGGTTCCGATGTTAATGACAATCTAATAATTACAATGGCATTTCAAAACGCCTGCAATCCATAATAACTTCACACTTATATCCTTAAAACCACCTGGACAAGCTCAGAATTTACTTTGAAAAAGACAAATACTAAACTACCTGTACTTATATGTACAACTGTATTTCATAATTTACAATTTCTTTACTCTTTGCAGATTATTTTATGTACCAATTGTATTAATTCACAATGAAGTTCTTTATGGGTAAGGGCATTTTCATTCTTACTTTGCACACTAGAGATTCTCAGTTACTACTTTGGTAGATAAGAAAAATAACAAAGTAAACAGCAATAAATAATTTTAGACAATCTAATTGTCAGTGGCACAGAAACTGCCATGATAGGAAGGAAGGAAGCTGATCATGGAAAATATTTGTTCTATACATTAGATGCTTTATTACATACACTACACTACGTAACCTAAGTACAATTTGGATTTTCTCAGTAGGTGTGCATATTACATATACTGAAATAGTAAGGTAATGTAATCTTTACAACAATATGTACATTTGAATTATGTAAAGATTTTAACCTCATGAGAGCTTCTGTGGCACAATGTAAAAGGAATATATAAAAATTAGTTATTTACCTAACTTTGTAAATGTATAACATTTCAAAATTAATAACATGAAAAACTTCCACACTTATTTTTCCTAGCTCATTTACTTGGTGCTGTTTCCCCGACAATCTTGTTATAAGCCTATCAATATTAAAGATGTTAATAACATAGGCATTTTATTAAAAACTTGATATCCACTCTTGCCCTGGCCAGTGTGGCCCAGCTGCTTGAGTGTCATCCCATGCACCAAAAAGTCACAGTTTTGACTTGTGGTCAGGGCACATGCCTGTGTAGTGGGTTCTATCTCCAGTAGGGGGCATGGAGAAGGCAGCCAACTGATGTTTCGCTCTTCCCTTCCTCTCTCTCTAAAAATCAATAAAAACATATTTAAAAAAACAAAAACAAAAAAAACTTGATTAACTCTACAGCTATGCATTAACCTAAATGTCCAAGATACATCTCATTTCCTTGATAGTCATAAATGTCTCCAAAAGACATGTTTCTGTGCACAATAATGAAGGTTAGGGCAAAATGTTAGACACTCAGTAAAACAAATAAAAATAGCTACACAACACAAAGTTACACAAAAGATTACCTTAAAATAAAAATTTATAAAATACTCCCCCCAAAAGTTTAGATACACTACAACTCAAAAACTACCAAATTTCTAAAGTAAAAAAGCCAATTTAAAGCATAAAATTTGATTTCTAATGTTATGCCATGCAATTACTAAACAAGTTTCATATTGTACCAAAACCTGGTTACAGGTTTCTTTCATTAAATCTATCAAAACATAATACATTTTTTAGCCTTCAAATAAACAAAATGAAAGAGTTTTTCCTAGGCATATATTTTTTAATATATTTATTCTTTTTAATTTAATAAATTTAAGAGATTTCACCATTAAAATGTTGATTCAAAAATTTAGTTTATTACTGACATGTAGATACCACAAACAGCATGTACAGTTTCCCAAAGAATTACAAGTAAGTTATAGAAGCCTTTTGCTTCCAATCCCTACCTCCCATGTTTATTGCTCCACGGGGACCCATATCACCCATTCTCATTTCCTGTTCTCTCTGTAAGTAAACATAGTTGTCACAGTCAACCTATCGATCTTATCACATTTCCCATCTAAAATCAAAAAGAAAAGAATAAATTGGGACATCACTTTCCATTTAAAAAATTCTAATTTTCCAACATCTTTTACTTAATAAGAACACTGAAAAGAAACTTCGGTCTTCCAGGCTTAAAATATACAATGTTTAAAGCACCCAGTTTATAATGCTAGATTATAAATGTCAGAATACATAAAATTTACCACAGAATATTTTTAATGTTTTTATTCCAATAGCTCAAAGACACATGCCTAGATTCAAAAAAAAAGAAAAATCTCATAATAATAACCACCAGGGCCAATTATTTTTTCCTCCCAGGTCACTAAAAGTCTTCAAACAGAAATGACTCTTACCACTTTTATATTTAAATGAATTCAAACATACAACACAAAACAGCTATGGGGCACTAAACTAAAAACAATTATAGTTTATAATTTTGAAATACTGTAATCATCCTTGCCTTTTTATTCAAGTAGTCAAACATTATTTTACCCAAGACCTATATAGGTCTACCATAAATTTCTCCATGACACAGGCAAATACTGAATGCTCAACGTAACATTCCTTCCTTAATTAGAACAGAGTTTTAACTTAGTAACCTAAATAAAAGTGTTATTACCCAGTTGGCAAGTTCTGTTACAAAATGCTCTTGAAGTTAACTATGACACAAAAGGTCATACAAATGCACAAAATATCTTAAATTTCAATTCAGAAACTGCTTCCTAAAAAATTTTTCATTTAGTAACAATAGTTAGAGAATAACTTCAATGAACTCTTTGTGAAATGACTCAACATATTATGGTTGCAAATTTTCACTATTATTTGATCATCTTTTCCAAATATCAGACAAATGTGCTAAATGTAGTGATCCTAAAAAATTCTCAGACAAAAGTAACAGCATCTGAACCTAAAGAAAGCACAATTTTTCTACTTTTAAAAGCAATTTTATTAAAACGTTTTTGTTTAAAATTCTACTTAATAATTCAAAACACTGGTGAAAAGCAGAAATAAAGAAATAAAAGACTATGATGGATAAATGACATTAAGTAACAAATCAACTGCCTATTGAACTTTATTAATAGAGATGCCTCAAAAGGTAATCTATAATGAATACATGAAAAACACCTATATAGCATCATGAAGAAATGACGCGTTATCTAAAAAAGTAAATGCCAAACCTCTCAGAGCTATTTTTAACTTTCCTAAAAATAAATTTGTCTCGTAAAACTTTAGACTATTAAAGAATAATATTATTGACCAACAAAAAAACTATTTTATAAACTGACTACTAATGAAGCCATATAATTTTCCAATTATATGAAAAACATTATTTTATAATCACATTTAGCATTTTATGATCTTGACATTCTGGGGAGAGGACAAGGATTCAATTTATATTTTTACGCTTGTATTTGCCTTAACTATGACAGATTAGAAATGCAGTTAACAGAAGGTAATTATTATCGTCTCACTGATACTTCAATTTTCAAATTTCCCTTATATACCCTAATACCCTAACTGGATGCCTGTGATTCACTGGTGGGGAGTAAGAGGGAGAGACTACCATTTCCATTGTCTTTTTACAACTTCAGCTTTACCTATACCTATCAGTTTTTGAAATAACATGTTTATCTTTATTATTCACAAAGTTAAGTACTATTTAAAAATTAATCTTAAATTGCTGTTATTCCATTTTCTTCATTAACAAAATTTTCTGAACAAACATCTCAGCATACTGAAGAGATCTATGATTTTAAGTAAACTATTCAACACTGGCTGTAATATTTCCTTCCTGATGCTCTATTATAAACTAGTTCGAGTTCTAAAATATATTTCTGTAAATGATATAATCAGAAGCTTACAATAATCCATGTTAATGTTAACATATCGCTGTTAAAATACCAATTTATATTATACAGTAGCATGTTTCACTAAGTATACAAACATTCAATTTATTTATTAGTGTTGACATTTCCTTAAAGAATATCATTTAGAACTATTTTATACAGCTTCACTCGTAATTTTTAAAAAGATAGTATAATTAGATGACAGGCCATTTTTTAACTTTTAGACGGAGCAAAAGTTTTCAGCTTCCTAGTCATGTCCAAGGTTACTGCTTCTATAAATCCACTGCTATATACTTCTAGTACAATGAAAGAGGCAGATATTTTATTTAAGGGTAGTGTTATCAAAGGGAATTAAGACAGTAATTCTCTTAACTTGATCTAACAATATCATTAAGGATAATCACTTGAAGAAGTTCACTATAACGGTACCGACCCAAGAAACAATAAGCCATCACTTCTCCTATGAATTACTTCTAATATATTTTAAATTAGAACTGGCACATGATATGCATAATAATTTTATAATACAAATTTTATTGATGCTTTCTTCCTTTAGCAAAAATTATGAGTTGTGGTTTAACGTGAAATAATCTATACAGAAACAAAATCTCAAAAGACTGCAGTGGAATAAAATGATAAAGCTATAATGAAAACTGTTTTTAATTAATTCATTTATTCCTCATAGCAATCCTATATGGTTGTTATCTTATTTTAGAGATCATAAAACTGACACACATAACTGTTAAATAATTTACTCAAGATCATACATATTAATAAATAGCTGAGTTGACCTGTAAAATTCTGTCAAAATAAAGTTCATGAAATTTTCACCTTCATAAGGCACCTTCGTTTTTTAAGAATTCCAACAAAAACTAACAAAAAACGAGATCTTAAAATTTATTCTTACAATGTTTATAAGAAGGTGTGCTTTTCCTTTAAGAGTTATGCATAGGTATTCCTGAAAGCTTGTCACTGAAGAGAGCTTAAATTCTTATCTGACCAACAAATTAAGCCAAGTATGACTGATTTTCAAAACTACACATCAAAGCACATTCCATTCAAATAGCAGTTCTTGAAATGTGGTTCCTGGAGTACTCAAAGTCCCCAACACCCTTTCAGGAAGTACACAGATTCAAAATATTTCATGTCTTATAAACACTAGAATATAATTATATTATAATATTATGATCTAGTTGTGCTTTACACTCACTGGACATATGTGGATGGTGCAAAAGCAATGGCAGGCAAATACCCTGGATTTGGGGGGAGGGGGTACAAATTAAAGCACTTGTATTCAATTTTTACTAGAAACCATTGTATTCTTCACATGCATACAATAGCAGTTTAAATTTTTCAAATATGAATATCGGGATGAAGCAATAAAAGTTTATTAAATCACTATTCTTTTTTTTTTGTCCTCACCTGAGGACATTTTTCCATTTTTTGTTTAGAGTGGGAGGGAGGGAGGGAGAGGAAGAGGAAGAGAGAGAGAAACATCGACATGAAAGAGACACATCGAGTGGCTGCCTCCCGTAAGATCCAACTAGGGCAGGGACAAACTGCAACCAAGGTACTTGCCCTCAGCGGGAACCAGAACTGGGTCCCTCTGGACACAGGCCGACGCTCTAACCGCTGAGCCAAACCGGCCAGGGCTAAATCACTATTCTTGAGTATATATCTTTTTTATTATTCTATGCAACACAGGATATATACATTAAAAGCATGTGTGTTGCATTCTGAAGCAGGATGGTTATTTCAAGAAAAACAATTATTGTGATTGGGTTGCAAGCTGAATGAAAGACACTTTTTGCTTGCAATAAGAATTTTACTTAAGACAGCAACGTCTAAGCAAATTTTCACAGGCATTATCTGATGAGATCAGTGGTTGGTATTAAGATGTAGTTTTAAATATTGTATAATCAAATACATTAAAATTTGAGATAGTTGTGTAACTTGATAAACCAGTATTTTCTAATGGTGGGTACATGACATTACAAAATCATGTCTGAGTAAGAGAGCCCTTCAAAGTTCAAAGTAGACCAATAGATTTTAATGGAAAAGAGTACTTCTACGAAATTACTGCCTATCAAGTTTTACTACAGTGTCAAACAAGAAAAGACACAATTACCTGAAAAGGTTAAAACTCAACTCCAGTGTGAAGTCATGTTTTTTTCATGTACTTATTTAACCAAGAGCATTTTGTAATAGATGGAATGCAAAAACAAATATGGGGAGCTAGACTAGACATTTTCCAGAAAGCCAATATACCACTCTTCCTACTACATTACAGTTGAACATTAAAGAAGTCTGCAAAAAATGTAAAATAAGGCCACTCTTCCCACTAAAACCCATTTTCTTTCACATTTCTCCTTTAACATTTCTAATGTGATAAACCCTGATATAACCTGAATAAAAGCTCTTTGGGGATCCTTAGTAATTTTTAAAGTCTATAAAAAGGATTTTTAAACCAAAATGTTTAAAAACCATAAAGTCTCAGTAAAGTTGCATTAATATAAATCAACTAAAGTATAGCTTAAAGTGCAGCATTTGACATTATTGTGTGTAGCGTAAGAATTTCTTTTCCTTTAAAACTAAGGGTATCAAACATATTATATTTATTTTTCTAAGTAATCTAATTTAAAGGTTGTACACGGTAAAAAAGTAAGGCTCGCCCGGCCAGTGTGGCTCAGTTGGTTAAGCGTTCTCCTATGCACCAAGAGGGTCAAAGGGTTTGATTCCCAGTCAGGGCACATGCCCAGGTTGAGGGTTCCATCACTGGTGGGTGGCATGCAGAGGCAGCTGATCTGTTTCTCTCTCTATAAAACCAATAAAAACATGTATTTTTAAAAAGTCAAACATTTAAAAATAATAAAATAAGGCTAAAATAAATTATAATAAGACTGTTCAAAGATTAGGAAACAGTCAACTAAATAAATGCTCAACATAGATCGACTGGGACTGTGATCAATATCAAAATATGTTCGTTCAACTAACACTGTGATCAATCTAAATTCTTGTTTGAGTGAATTCAGTTAACAGCCACAATCATTATTCTTCTTTAATTCATAAAGACAGTTCATGTATGTCCCTAAAAAGATTCTAAAGGATAATCTA